TCTTTTGATGATGGTATGCTTAAAATAAAAACTCCTTGTAGGTAAACTTAGTAGAAGACAACTTACACCTCCAGTAGTGTGGACTTGGAAAGACATATCAAAGAAATAACTTTTCTAGTGCAGAATCAGACTTTGGGTAGAATAAGAATATCAAAAGCTCAGCTACTCTTGAGAGTGACTGGTGAAACTATCATCCACCAAAAGGCAATCTGTAGGTCTTTTCTCAGTTCAAGACCATGAATATCACTTTAGGCAAGAATTAGAAATTGATGTCAAGGTATGGAGAACATAGGCTAGTTAGAGGTTAGATGTTGGAGTTTAAGGAAAGTTTCCAGTCATAAACACAAACCAACCCAAATGGTTATGAGCATAAACCAAATCACTAGAAAATTCAGAGGTCTAAATAATAAATACAGAGTAACAGCAAGAAACCATAGGTATTAAGAAAATCATTCATAGAAAGGCAATTTCATCACTACAAGATACTTTTGTCTTTTATTTTAAGCTTCAGGATAGTCCTGTGGTGTGAACGGGTTAAGTTCCCAGCATATCTCACTAGAGATGGGATATGAGACAATATGGAGGTGGACTGGAGAACAGGTTTCCAAGTTTCATATTTTTGGTCATTTAATAAGCTCCTTTATCCTTTTGGTTAAGATGAAATGTCTAGCAATCATTTTCTATTGTAGCTTTGTCAACATATGAATTTTAAGATCTTTAAAAAAAATTAATATTATACATTCATAGCAATTTTCAGAATATAAAAAAAATCACTGATATGTTAGAATATCAAAATGATACTGACATTCTACTGAAGAATGTTATATTCAGATGGGAGTTTCAAGCACTATAATAAAAATTTTAAAGTCCTCTTTGCTATTTTTGGCATTTTCCTAGTCTGCATTTGGAATTGATACCATAACTTGAAATTTCCAGCCTAAGTAGGAAGAAATATGGGAAATATGTTTCTCTGTTTTAAAAACAGTATTACTATATTTAAGTAAGGTGTATTCGTGTTCAGACTTTTGGAAAATTTATAAAGTTAGAATATGATTCAGTAAAATTTATGTATTTATGCCCAAATATGCCAAGCAAGTAAACAAAAAATAAACCACTATCATGCATTGAAATATTCTGACTTCATTTGGTGAAATTAAACTGAATATACACTCTATCTTATTTTCTGAAAATTGTAAAATATACCTTATTTTATCCATTACCTAAAAATGAATGTGAATCTACAGTTTCATCCAATATATAACAAAGAATAAAGGTCCTCTACTCCTAATTATCCCCAAGTAAATAGAATATAATGGTAGAAATGAGAATGAGAACAAAAGGAAAAAAAAAAAACACAACAATGAAGGGATTGAGACATATAATGGTCAAATAGGAGCTATTTAGCAATACTCTTCCTTACATGTTTCAAAGTATAACTTTCAAAACCTTAAGGATGTGAATCTTGTAAAATTATAGAAACATGTTAAATAAGTTATTAAAGTCATTAATTTATCAGGGAAGTAGACAATTAACCTGGTTCGAGTAGCATATGGGGAATACAGGTTTATGTAGTCCTTTACAAATATTGTTTACTAAAAGTGGGTGTTAGCTACTGCATAAATTCCCTCATGGAAATAGATGGACCTCATGGAAGAGGATCAAGTTGGGCCATCTTACAGGCAACAAAGGAGAGATACTCCAGCAACAAGAGGCTGTGAAGATATGCTTGCTCAGAGAGTGAGGCAGAGTGGGAAGAGGAATATTTAGAATGGACCTTCACTAGAATCTTAGCTTGTTCCGGGAATCCCAGAAACACAGCATCCTCTCCTCAGAACCAATACTTGAAGGCCTAGAACACGGAAAGCACTGACAGAGTGTTGGTTTAAGAAAAGAGGAAGAAGGAGAAGGAGAAGGAGGAGGAGGGGAAAGAAGAAGAAGAGGGAGGGGGAGGAGGAATGTTAGGATAAATTTTCAGAGGTTGCAAGTTAGATAAAAATTGATTAAAGTCATAGAAATAAAACTGTAACATTTGGGGTTATCTTTTACACTCAGATGAAATCTACAAGTAAGTATAACTTCACAATTTCTCAGCTATAATGAATTAACATATAGCAAAGTTGAATAGATATATTCTCCTAGAAAATTAAATAATACTTAGGTGGACTTGGTAAACCATATCCTAGGATGATCAAAAAAATCATGCTGCCCACTTTTTAAAAGATTATTTTCTGGCTTTAAATAATTATTATCACACTTAGATACAATCAGAGTTTTAAAATGTTAAGTTTTAATTCTTTATTAACAGGGGACATATTCTTGGAAATCTTTTCAGTTGTGGAAAGTGTGGAGTTTCACGTGGCAAAAGACTATGTTTCTGAGAGAATGCCTTTATTTTACAACTTTCAGAATCTCATCTCTACTAATTTTCAAATCCATAATTATAGTTATGCCTAACACTAAGTCCTAAAGCTGAAGAGAACTAAGCTAAAACGGATTCTGCTTTTGTACTACACCAATTGTGAATAGAAAAGGTCTGGATTCTTAGACATGAAAGAAAGTCTTGGAGAACAAAAGGTCAGATATTCTAAACTGTGAAATTATTGAAATTAAATTACCCAACTTTTGGGGTATTTTGAGACTTCTCAGAACCTGTGTTAGGGAATTGCTAACAGCCTTAGGATGTAAGATACAAATGCAGTAACAGCAAACTTTTTGAAGGGAGGAACTGTATCACATTTATTAGTTTTTAAAATGTTTAATTTGAAAAGAATTGAATACCTTAGCATTAAAGTAAAAAAGACTTGAGCTGCCAAACAAACAGCAGGCCAATGTGAATATTGCTAGACAAATAGATTGCTCTAGATTAGTATTGAAAATTATTTGTAGGGGCGCCTGGGTGGCTCAGTCGGTTAAGCGGCTGACTTCGGCTCAGGTCATGATCTCGCGGTCCGTGAGTTCGAGCCCCGCGTCGGGCTCTGTGCTGACAGCTCAGAGCCTGAAGCCTGTTTCAGATTCTGTGTCTCCCTCTCTCTGACCCTCCCCCGTTCATGCTCTGTCTCTCTCTGTCTCAAAAATAAACGTTAAACAAAATTTAAAAAAAAAAAGAAAATTATTTGTAGATCTCACTAAACCGCAGTAAATCCCATGGCTACCCATGGGAAGTCAAGGGAGACAGTGTGTGAGAAGGACAAAGGACAAGAAAATTATTCAGATCCAGTACAATTAGCTACAGGACTGTAGAAGGTGTGTCCTCTTGTTTAGCCCTGAGTTCTGTCATTACCTGAAAAAGAAGAGGTGGCTGTGGAATAGATCTCACCATTTGAAGGCTGGATGGTATTATAATCTATGTATAATATAAAATCAAGTGGACATGTCCAGTTTCAGCTCTAGCAGATAGAGTTTGGAAGTTGTCATCCCTCTCCTTACAATAAGGAAAAACTAAAAACACTGAAAATCAATCATTTTTGACTCATCAGGAAGTATAGGAGATGAGGCAAAACTTCATGCTGAAATCTGGAAACACAGACAAATCCAGAGTCACAACCAAGATCTACTTTCCTGGAGTACAAGCCACTGGAGTCACAAACTGATATGAACACTTAAATGTTTATTTTGAAATTTTGCTGAAAATGAAGTGTGAATTGCATGAGACAGAAATTTTTGGAGGGTAAAGAATTAAGGGGAGCCCATGTTTTCATGGCCCTTAACCTTAGGAGAACTATTAAATTCTCATGGTAGATTTCTTCCTGGCTTCAACAGGGTAAGGGAAAGGGTGACCATTATGAAATATGCCCATAGTAGTCTCTATAACTCTCTGGGGAAAAATACTTTATGAGAGATTTATCCCACCTGGGAGAAGGACATTTCTGTAACTTCAGCAACACCCCCCCCCCCAAAATTGCTGTTTCATTTAAAGGGAAAAAGAGCTATATTAATGGAGAAACACTTGTGAAACTGGGACAAAAACAGGAGCCCAAGGGAAATTTGAATCACTAGTACATACAACTATAAGTAATAAACACAACCCATCTCTTAGATTATAAATCCTCATACTAAAGGCCTGTTTAGCTCACTTCCTGTTACCCAATACAACATGGCTAGTTTTCAACAAAAAATTACAAAACATACCAAAAACCAAGGTAAGAACACAGTCTGAATGAACAAAGCAAACATCAGAATCAGACTGAAATAAGAGAAAGATAATGGAGTTCTAAAACAGGAAAACTTGAAAAACTGTAACATTTGTTATGGAAACTAATGGAAAAGTAGATAATATGTCAGAACAAATTAGTAATATAAGCCAAGAGATTGAAATTCTGTGAAAAACATTGAAAGGAAATGCTAGATATTAAAAAGTTTAGCAGCGTGGCATCTGGGTGGCTTAGTTGGTTGAGCATCTGACTCTTGATTTAGGCTCAGGTCATGATCCCAGGGTCATGGGATCAAGCCCCACATCAGACTGCATACTGAACATAGAGTCTGGTTGGGATTCTCTGTCTCCTTCTTTCTCTGCCCCTTGCCCCTCTAAAAATAAAAAAAAATAAAAATAAATTAAAAATAAAAAGTTTGTAAGGGAATTGCAGGCAAAAGAACTGCAAGCCTCAGACCCAATTTAAGAAGGAGTCTCTAGAGAAACCCAAAGACAAAAGGAGAGACCAAAACCAGATACTAGAGGAAATTTTAGCCTCGGACACCAGAACTACAATGACCAGTAAACAGAGCCTAACTCCTAGTCTGATAAACATAAACTTCATGCTTAATATATGTCTACCTCAGCTTCTTTTTGCCCAATACGTCATGTCTGAATCTCAATGAAATATTACAAGGCATGCGAAAATGCAACACAAGCAACAAATACAGTCTAAAAAAGACAAAACAGGGGTGCTGGGGTGGCTGAGTCAGTTGAGCATTGGACTTCATCTCAGGTCATGACCTCATGGTTTGTGAGTTTGAGCCCTGCATGGTTTGCAGAGCCTGGAGGCTGCTTCACATTCTGTGTCTCTCCCTCTGCCCCTCCCCTACTTGCGCACACGCTCTCTCTCTTTCTGAAAAATAAATAAACGTAAAAAAATATTTTAAAAAAAGGAAGATGATATAGGTCAGAAAATTGTATCTACATAAAGAAAGGAAGAGTATTAGGCAATAAATAAAGTTCAAATCAATGTTTTTAAAGTTTTTTCATTTGCAAATGATATAACATTTGAACAGTTTGTTTAAAATGATATTAGCAGCAATCAGGTGATTATCACTTATTATGTTTAAGTGAAATGAATCACAAATGTAATAAGGGTTAGAGGGAAGATTTGGGAATACTTTGTTATAAGGACCCTATGCTACCAGGAAGTGTTAGTTTTATTTGGAAGTGGACTTTTCAAAATAAAGAGCTTTTGCACAATGAAAGAAACCATCAACAAAACAAAAAGGCTGCCTACTGAATGTGGGGGAAGATATTTGCCAAGGACATATCTTATAAGGAGTTAATATCCAAAATCCATAAAGAGCTTATATAACTCAATACCAAAAAAAATAAATAAATAAAAAGTAATCTGAGTAAAACATGGGCAAAGGGGCTGAATACTTTTTTTTCAAAGAAGACATACCAATGGCAAACAGACACACAAAAAGATGCTCAAAATCACTAATCGTCAGGGATGGACAAATCAGAACTACAATGAGATAATTACCTCATACTTGTCACAATGGCTAAAATCAAAAGCACAAGAAATAAGGGTTGGAGAAGCTATGGAGAGAAAGGAACCCTCATGAATTGTTGGTGGGAAAGTAAATTGCTCCACACACTGTGGAAAATAGTATGGAGATTCCTGAAAAGATTAAAAATGGAAATACCATATTATGTTTATAATTCCACTATTGGGTATTTACACAAAGAAAATGAAAACACAAATTCAAAAAGATATATGCCCTATGTTTACTGTGGCCTTGTTTACAATAGACAAAATATGGAAACAGCCCAAGTGCCCCTTGATTGATGAATGGATAAAGAATATTTAACATATATATATATATATATATATATATATATGTGTGTGTGTGTGTGTGTACATATATATATGTATATATACATATATATATGTGATGGAATATTATAAACCCATAAAAAGAATGAGATCTTGCATTTACAACAACATGGAAGGCCTCAGAGGGTATTATATCAGGGAAAGACAAATAGTATAAGATTTCACTTACATGGGGAATCTAAAAAACAAAACAAAAAGCAGAATCAAACCTGTAAATACAGAGAACAAACAAACTGATGGTTGCCAGGGGGTGGGGGGATTGGGCAAAATGGGTGAAGAGGAGAGGGAGATACAGGCTTCTAGTTGTGGAATAAACAAGTCATGGGAACAAAAGGCATAGCGTAGGGAATATAGTTAATGATACTGTAATAGCATTGTATGGTAGGAATAGCGTTGTATGGTATACTACAGGTGGTAGTATACTTGTGATGACTGTAGAGTAATGTATAGAGTTTTTGAATTTTGAATTACTATGTTGTACACTTGAAACTAATGTAACATTGTGTGTCACCTGTGCTCAAATTACAAAAAAAAAAAAAAAAAACTAAAAGCCAAATGCATAATCTCATATTGAAAAAAAATGGACTTAAGTTTGTCCTAAATGTATATTTCAAACTTTAGAGCACTCAGCAAAAATATTTGAAAGAGAAGTACAATTGATATGCTAAAAGAGGAGAGAGAATGGAATTAGACAAAATTTTCGGTTAAAATTAGAGAAAGCAGAAAAGAAAAATAGGCCAAAAAAATCGCAGACGCTATAGAAAATCTAGAGAATTAAGATACCAAAAGAAGTTGATATAAAATTAGGATCAAAAAATTTTTTTCTGAGTATGACACAAAGGCAGAAGCTACTGGGAAAAAAAGAAAAATAGATTTTAGCACAAATTTATTTATGGTTTTAACAATGGTATAAATAAAAATTTTGAAGGGGGCAGTGTTTACGAGAAACATGATACAGAATTGTCTCAATAGACGATCATTTGCAGATCAATGTGAAAATAATGCAAACTTCATCCTGTTTACCTCCCTCCTGTCCTCCCTCCTGGGATGTGGGCAAAAGGAATAAACAGTTGTTTTGAAAAATGAATAAATTCAAGTAGACAATCTATAATGAATTTGCTTGGTTTTTGCATAATGAAATAATTTTAAATTTAAATATGACATATCCCCTGCTCAGAAATTCTGTAAAGAGAGAAAACAACAATGATCTCTAGTGTTGGCAAGGATCAAGAGAAATAATTATCACCATTCCTTGTTTCAAAAGATAGTTCCAAAATTTGCTAAATTAGTCTGTTGACCCCTAGTATTCCATTACTAGGAGTTTAACTTAAAAAGTAATCACACAAGGGGCACCTGGGTGGCTCAGTTGGTTAAGCGGCTGACTTTCGCTCCGGTCATGATCTCAGAGTTCGTGAGTTTGAGCCCTGTGTCAGGCTCTGTGCTGACAGCTCAGAGCCTGGAGCCTGCTTTGGATTCTGTGTCTCCCTCTCTGTTCCTCTCCTGCTCCCACTCTCTGTTTCTTTCTGTCAAAAGTAAAGATTAAAACAATTTTTTAATAAAAAAAAATCATGCAAATACACAAACATGTTAACAGTTCATAGTAATGAGGGAGCATTAAGGCAAACTGGGGGCAAAGCACAAGCTAGCAAACACCCCCCAACACACACCTAGATGGATTATGTGTTCCTCAAGCATTCCTCAATGCATATTCCTCAAGCATTCCTAGCTGCCCTAAAGCTTAGAGAAGGAGAAAACAAATGGTTAACTGATTAGAGAACAAAGTCATGCAGGACTTGAGTCTCCATCAGGTTACAAATATTAGTAAATTATAAGAAATAGACATTCTTATCAGTAGCCTAATCTCCAGAAACCTATAGAGTCAGTTTCCTGGAGATCCAGTATCACCCTCCCCTCCATAGTGATGTGGGGAACTAAGACAAGAAGGAAATGGCAGATAAAATTAAATTTCTTTATAACCTGTTGCCCATTGACAAATACTTGAGGCAAATACAGACTATAATATTTCTCCAGGAACTCCATATTGTGTTTTTTTTTTTTTTAATTTTTTTTTCCAACGTTTATTTATTTTTGGGACAGAGAGAGACAGAGCATGAACGGGCGAGGGGCAGAGAGAGAGGGAGACACAGAATCCGAAACAGGCTCCAGGCTCTGAGCCATCAGCCCAGAGCCAGATGCGGGGCTCGAACTCACAGACCGCGAGATCATGACCTGGCTGAAGTCGGACGCTTAACCGACTGCGCCACCCAGGCGCCCCCATATTGTCTTAATGTTAATGCCTTACTAGATGGAAAACAACCTTAGCTTGACAATAACAAGTCCTCCAGTAGCTTAGGAGCCCTCTTTAGCATATGAAAGTCCTTTTGGAGGCCTCCCTTTTTCCTTTACCTCCGCCAACTCCATAGTATATAATCAGTCACTTCTGCTGAAACCCAGGGCAGCTCTTCTTGCCCAAGGTCCTTGCCCCTGTTCCTGTACTTCAATAAAGTCACCTTTTTTGCAGCAAAGGTGTCTCAAGAATTCTTTCTAGGCTGTCAGTTCCGGACCCCCACCATTCTAAAACCCCATCAGCAGCACAATTTCTTGTAATATTAACATTTGGGGAAAACCTATATCCCGATAATATGGCATATCTAAAAGAATCATTATATATTCAGAAACAAGAATACAACCAATAAAAACAGCTCTAGATTCTCTCTAGGTGATATGAAAAGATTTTTATAATATATTGTTAAGTGGCAATTAACATATTTCTTTAGACTGTAGCTATTGTCTCTGTTGTAATGGGTGATAACATTTACAAGCTTTTCTTTCTTAAATCTCTTGTCAACCAATGTTTATTTATATTATTGCCTTTTTTAGTATTCACCTTGGTACTATAAATTATGTGTAAACTTCTTTTATATGATTTATTATTCCACTCTCTTCATTCTAATTTTCACATTTATTTTACAATTTATTCTAAGTTTAATTGAGTTTATGCATACTGCTAATCCTTTTCTGGTAATTTTCAAAGTCATTTATTAGTTTTATGAAGTTCATTCTTCAATAATGTTCCTCAAGGAAGAACTCCTAAGAACAACATTCCCTGACTTGCAGCAAAGTGAACCAGTTTTTCTTTAGCTTTTCTGCTTGAATGTTGGGTTGTCTGAATGCCAAATCCTTGGTTCAGACTTTCTTTATTCAGGTATTTTATAGTTATCTCCCTATTATATTCTGGTATTGAATGTTGCTGTGGGGAAATCTGAAGCCTGTTTGATAATTTTTCCCCTAAGAAGTGACTTGAACTCTTTACTTAATTAACTGAAGATTTCTTTTTATTCCTTTACATTCATTAAGTTTACTAGGATATGTCTTGTTGTTAAATGTTTTGTGTTGATTTTTCCTGACATGGCCTTTTATGTTCCTCACTTTCCATTTAATGGTCAATCTTTTTTTTTTTCTTTCAGAAAAGCTTTAAAAATATTATCTTTAAATATTTATATTGTTACTTTGCTTTTTTAAAGTTTATTTATTTATTTTGCGAGAGAGGGAGAAAGCACCAACAGGGGAGGGGCAGAGAGAGAGGGAGACAGAGAGAGAATCCCAAGCAGGCTCTGTGCTGTCAATGCAGAGCCCAACGTGGAATTCCATCTCTTGAACTATGAGATCATGACCTGAGCCACAATCAAGAGTCGGATGCTTAACTGACTGAGCCACCGAGGCACCCCTATATTGTTACATTGTTTTGATTTTCTTTTTTAGTGTTACACTGTTTATTTATAGGTTATGAAAAAAGAGCCGTATTTGAAGGAAGCTTTTTTTGTTCATGTGGTAGTAAAGAAGGAATAATCCTTTTGGAGGTAAAGTCTGAAAGACTATAAAAGTATAACCTCCTGTGTAAACTTTCTTTTGAATTCTGTTTTGCTGTTACATCCTTTTTCCTTACAGTATCTTTGTGTTAATGTTATCCCAGTTTACTTTTTATTACTCATCATTGAACAAATTAT